TTAGATTGAATCGTGACAGAAATTGCTTTCCGTTGGTCACAAATATTCCAATACTCCTCTCTGTGAGACGCCCCAATACTCAGACAAATTAGGTATATTCTGACCATTTAAAATATGTTCCCCCTCGGGTGCACTGCTTGATTCCCCCCCTCTTTGAATCTATCTTCCATTCATTTGTGTAATTCAAAATAATTAAGATACATTAAAAACAAATGCATACAGGCAATCAAAACACAAACAAATTAAACGTATATCTAACAAAACATAACCAGAGCTTAATTAAAGTGGCGGTGGTGGAGTAGCTGGGATGTTCATGATGAATTTTTTGATGAAGAATACATAATTCAATGAGGAAATATCTAATTAGCCACAGCTGCTTTGCATTTTATTCCTGTGATCTGCATTACTCTGATACGTCTTTGCTTGTATTCTCAATTATACTGTGCTGTATTTGTTAGCTAACTGTCCTCCCCTTCTTTTGTTTTGTCCTCTCTGTAGTTCCCCCCCGAGAGCCCACAGTCACATGTCGGTCCAACACCTACCCCAAAGGCTTCTACTGCAGCTGGCACCAGCTCCACCAAACGTTCATCCCCACCACCTTTGAAGTGGACGTACAGTAAGTGCATAGGATTCATGTCTTTGTGTGGATTTACATATACAATATATGTCTCGATATATCGGTATGACATGCAAGAACTAGCTTAGTTAAAGGTGGGGTAGGTAAGTTTGAGAAACCGGCTCGAGATACACTTTTTTTTTTTTTGTCTCTTAACATCCGATAGCAATGAATATCTTAAGTGCTTTGACCAAAAATCCATAAAAAAATTCATCTGTGGAAGCTGTAGCGCTGTAAAAAGCACGACCAATCATCTGAGCCGGCCCGGCTAAAGTAACTGGATGGCCTACCTGCCTGTCAGCCTTCCATCTGTGCACAAACGTATCTCGTGCCCTCATTGGTCATGTGCGCGTTCGTGTGTGTTGGAGGAGGGGCTCTGTAAGGAAGTGGCACATTTTTTCCGGCTGTGTATTTTCAAATTCTAGCGCACTCAAGCTGGTTTCTCCAAAATTACCTACTCCACCTTTAAGTGATTGAAGAACACTACTATAATTCACACATTGTCCTCTTTCAATCACGTGAGCTAGCTTACCTTTGCTAATGGTCTGTTATGCTAGTTAGCTTTTATTTTAATGGCTTCGTTTTCTAGGCACCATCAAATGTAGGTCATTACGCAATGCTTACAGTTGCCCTACACATTAGTATAGGCTAAGTTTACTATGCAGCTTAATTTAATATAAAAACAGTAGGGGGTCTCTGCTCCATCTTTCTTTTTAGCTAAACGCGCCTTGGCTTGAAAAACATTAAAAAAAACCTGGCTTAGAGGGCAACACTTTAAATTAAAAGACCAAAAATGCCCAACGAGAAAAATCAATTTTGAGATAAGAAGGAGGGTGTTATAATAAAAGTGACACCTCTCTCCCATGTCCAGGCAGGATTTAACAGTAGCTGGACCTCAGATACTCACACAAAATGTGTGGATGGAGACCCGGTATAGCTGTCTTCATCAGCTTCTCTTTGATATTCACAGATCACAGAGTCCCACAGCTCATGCCACAGCAGGTGGACTCTGTCTTCGTTAATATTGTAACACCAACATAATTAAGTTTGAATAATAATGAGCCGGTCAGCCATCCAGCCATTTCTGTCCTTTTTACCCCAAGAGAACATCTATGATTGTAATTGTAAACACTCTTGCGTCAGGGCTCCTGAATTAAACCAAAATGGTTAAATATTCGACTATTTTGTGTGACTGTGCAAGTTAAAAATTCCCATAACAACATTAATTTCAGTATGTAATGATCATAATTAATAGTGCCCCAATGTGTGCCTTGTGACGCGCGTCGCATGACCATAGCGTAGTGAGTAGTAGAGAACCTTACTAAACTATCCATATAAACAGTACCGTATCCCAAAAATGATGCAGTCCAAACCGGTTTATATCAAAAGCAAAACAAAGGAGTGTAAGTCCAATAACAACTTCTTCAGGCGTAAATGTGCCAATGTCTTTAGACCTTGGCACATTTAAGCCTACAAACCATCGAAGAAATGTACAAAAAGTAAAGTTCATACTGGCTGGATTCCAAACTAAAGTCCTGTCCTGGTCTGTAAAGCAGGAAGTATAGTCAGTGTTTTAGTGTTGGAATTCTAAATTATACCCACAGCTTTGATGGAGAACACCCACTCTTCTTAAAAACGTGAACTATTCTCTTTATGCCCTTCCACACCAAAGTGTATGAAACTTCCTTCAAGCTGAAAACTCACAAGCTTATAAAAACTTAGAAGTAAACCATCCATCTCTCTCACATCAGTCCTTATTTTTCACTCCTCTTACCCTTTGTATTCCCTCTCCTCTCCAGACACAACCAGCGATCACTGGAGGTACAGAAAGATCCGGACCACAAGAATCGCTGTCGTGTTCGTTTTCCCGAGGTCTTCTCCAGCTTCCCGTACAAAGTGAACGTGACATCAGTCAATGCCTTGGGGAAAGCCTCCACCACCATTTCTTTTGAGGAGTCCAGTATAGGTAAGATAGATGGCATATCATTTCGTGGTATTGTATTGGATGTTTGTGACACCTTAATACAAGAAAAGCTTGCACATGTTTATTTTCTGAGGAGGTTTTAAAGGCTTTGATTTAGTTTCTGAGCTTGGTTCAAAGGGTGCACTTAAAGAAAAATGTTAGACATTTTCACTTTTCTTAAGAGTTACCAAACAACACTGTGCAAAGTTCAGGGACAAATCTAAGATATTTTTCCCACACAGATTGACAATTACTTGGCAATGAAAAATAAGGACTAAGAGTGTTGAGGCGTCTCTTGGAGGATGCCAACCCTTGAGCAATGATAATGCGTTTGTTTGACCACAGATGACTGATTTCATTGACTTCTGGTTCCCTTCGGAGATGTGTTGTGCTCGGTGCCAGAAAGAAAATAGAGATTTCAATAGCCAAATAAACATCACCCATGTGAAGGAGAGTGCACTGCTTTTTTGTGTTGCTTTTGCTTTAACTTACAGTATAGGCCATTAGCGAAAATCCCACTGACTGTGCACCCCTGTCATTACTGGAGGCACTAGATAATACACACACTACCTCTGAACCTTTTGTGCAGCAAACACTATTTAATTGAGGCTTGGACGGGATGTGACATCAAAGGTCTGCTTTCTCACTACAAGTGCCAAACACAAGCTGCAGTATTAGCACATTTTAGTAATACTAAATGGAAGAATCAAGCATTAAAGTTAAGTTAATGAATTGGTTATTTTTTTAAATGATGGCATTCGCGGTCATGTGGTAAGTCGTTTTTTAAAAATTGCAGTTTGGATTATGGAGTTTTGTTCACTTAGGCTGCAGAAGGTTACATAATAACAAGCAAGACGCTTATAATTCATAAACAACTCAGGCTGGAAAGCAGTGAAGAGGAGAAATTCATTTTAAAGAAGGAATGAGAAGTACTTTGAAAGATAAGGGGAAGTGCTGCCAGCAGTCCCCGGCTCTGTCGTATTGCTCAGAGCGCGATATGGGTGTGCATGACGCATAAACACACACAGACACAAACGGGGCTGCGAGCGATTGTGTGCAGTGTGCCGGTCGACAGGTTGGGGTATTGAAAAAGTGTGTGTGTGTGTGGTGTGTGTGTGTGTGTGTGTGTGTGTGTGTGTGTGTGTGTGTGTGTGTGTGTGTGTGTGTGTGTTGTGATGGTGTGTGTGTGTGTGTGTGTGTGTGTGTGTGTGTGTGTGTGGTGTGTGTGTGTGTGTGTGTGTGTGTGTGTGTGTGTGTGTGTGTGTGTGTGTGTGTGTGTGTGTGTGTGTGTGTGTGTGTGTGTGTGTGGTGTGTGTGTGTGTGTTGTGTGTGTGTGTGTGTGTGCGTGCTAGTCTGAGTGTGTACACAAGTAACCAAATGAGGCAGTGACATGCTCTGCCAAGCCCCGGACACAGGACTCATGATAATGCTAATGCTAGCCGGATTAGCGCCCCGGCTGAGGAAATATCCCTCGACTATTGGTGATAGCAAAACACCCCACTGCTCCTTTCTTTCCCTCTGCTTTATCTCCCTCTGCTTTCTCTTTTATTCCCACATGCCCTTCGTGTGACTTTGTACTTTTTGTAACTGTCCCCTAGCCAAAGCTTTTCAGATAAATGTAAAAATGCCCGTTTTGTGTGACAAATGTCTTCCATCCACACTGTAACCACACTGTAATTGTTCTAATTTATGTCTTTAAGTTTGCTTGTAAGCTTTGAAAAGAATGAAATGTCTACTTATTTGATCCTTTTCTGGGCACTTTTTCACTTTAATTTTAACAGAGGACAGGGTAGACATATGGAAAAAAGGAATGACATGGAACATGGTCCCACATGTGCTGCTGTAACCACTCGGCTAACGAGGCGCTCCTTGACTATATATTTGAGTTAAGTTGCATCTAGCTAACAAATAAATTGTGTATTGCAACCTGGTAGTACAGGTAAACTTTATGTGGTCTTAACCCATGCCGTTACCTAGCAACGCAATTCTGTTGAACTATTTATCAACAGAATTCCGTTGCTAGGTAACAGCATGGGTCATTCACTCCTTATTGAATGACATCAGAACGTCCTGATGTCATCAAAATGATGATATCATCTTGGCTTTTATGCTAGGTTCCGAGCTGCTGCAAGGTTAACTGCATTTAGTCATTTGAGACTCGTGAGAAAGTCGTGTTTTGGACGACATACATGCTTTTTTGAATATAGCCAGGTTAATATACTTTATAATACCAGGTGAAAATTAACATTATAGGCCTACAACAGATCCAGAGCTACACATTTTTCTAATTTGACACAAAATCACCTACACTCATTACACATTTAAGTGTTTAATTGATTTCAATCTAAGTAGTAATGGCAAGTTATGCATATTCAGCAGAGGAGGACCCTAGATGAGAATGCTACAATTGCTGAAGGAAATGCCTGCAGCAGAATGTTTTCAGCGCAACAAATACCTGAAATTGTTGCATTATTTGAGGAGGCAGATGAAGATGGTGGTGGAGGTTTGGATATGGAAGAATTTTGTGTTTTGTTTGAAAAGATGTACCCCTCTGTTAAGAAGGAGGAACTTACAGTCCTACATATGCAGATAGATACCAACTGTGACGGTACAGTTGACCTGGTAGAGCTTTTAGACTTCTTAATAGCTAAGGGCAATGCATCGGCAGGGTTGGACTTTAAAAGACCATTCCCTAAACCTGTTGAATTTATACCTGTGGGTCACTATAAAGAAATTGTTGGTGTGATCTTCCGTCCCTTCGAGGACGTCAAACCTGATTTTAGTTTCAGAGAATTAGACGAAACCAGCACTTACCAGAGAGGCCAATACATCTCTGTCAGCTCCGATGGTGTACTCACCTTCTGGACGGACCGCTGTACAGATCCATTCACCATACCTCTATATGTGAAAGAAAATGCACTTCCTTTTTCACACCACAAGAAAATGTCTGTTAATAACATGCAGTACATTCAAGAATTGAAACAGCTGGCTATCTCCACCTCTGACAGAGAGCTTTTATTTTATGACTGCTCTGAAATACCCTCGCTTTTTTCAGTTAACCACACTCTGATGCTAGAAGAAAGCATTGTCAACACCATTAACTACTGGTCAAATGGCACTAAAGCAATGTTTGCATTTGGTGATGTACAAGGGTTTTTGACTGTTTTCATCTCCTACAACGTAAAGAAAAATGGCCTCTTCAACCGTGGCGTATTTGAAAAAATCTCTCTGCATGATTATCCTACAGTATACATTTCCAACCTTCTAAACAACCATTCAAAAGACTTTCTTTGTCTTAAAGTCTCAATTTTGAGTGACATATGCAGCCAGATCCAATACTTTCCGGATCTTAACTCATTTGCCATTTGTGGAAGTTTATCCAAGACAATGGTCCTGGCTGCCTACCAAACCCACCCAGAACCACTTTTTCAAAATCAATCTTTAAGAGCAGTGGAGATGAGGGGTTTTTCACCTGTGTTGAATACTCTCCTTCTGCTGAGTTATTGTTGACTGGTGGTACAGATGGCTTACTACGGTTGTGGTTACCCCACAAAAGAGACACCTGCCAAAAGTCTTTGGTGGGACACGTCAGGCCCATTACAAACATTGTCGTAAACAGAATGGACCGAACTGTCATCACTTTATCTGATGACAAAAATGTTCGTGTTTGGTCTTTGAAGAGATTGGAGTGTAAGCAAAGCATCGAGATTCAAGGCATGAGACCAGCTCGTATCTCCAGTATGTGTTACAACATACTTAACAATGATTTAGTTCTGGCTAACACAGATCTAGTCAAATATTTTGGTAGGGGAACAGATGCTTTTAAAGAAACATTAACATCCCATGACAAGCCCCTGTGCAATGCTCTCTATCACAGCATTTACAAAAAGGTTGTCTCTGTTTGTCGAAAAGGTGAGGCTACACTTTGGGATGTCTTAACAGGAATGGCTGTCATGCAGTTTCAGGTCACTCCATATGGGGGGCACACTGCCATTGCATTTGATATACCACAGCGGAGACTAATCACAGTTTCCAAGGACGGGAAATTAAAACTGTGGAACTTCATCACTGGAGTTTTGCTTGAAGAATTTCCTGTACCTTGCCAAGTGAGGTGACAGGTATTGTCTGCATGGACGATAGTGTGTTTGTGTCGGGAAGGAACTCCAACAGAATTTGTGTCGTGGGTTTGGAGGGTTATGACAACATATTTTTGGAACATGATTATTTAAATGACATTTGCTCAATGGATGTGCACGACAACACACTTCTTGCGGCCTCTTGCAATGGAAATATTGTAATGTGGGATGTTGAATCTAGGGAGGTTCTCTACTGGCTGAATGGCAGTCAGAGCCCTCGAACTTACATTGCAACAATAACAGGCAGGACAGGGTGTTTGCCTGATGGGAAGACACACAAAGAAGAAACTGGAAGGAAACACACTGATGTGAACACTGGTCCTATTGTTTTATGTTTAAAGACAAGGGACGTCAATGTGCACACAGCCACACTGCTGACTTCTGCCGATGGCTTTATAAGTGCCTGGTCGGTAAAAAGCAAGGGAGGTTTGTTAGGGAAGTTCAGGGCAGTGAATGATGAAGATGCAATCATTACCACGATGTCCACTGATGTCAATGAAAAAATATTGCTGACTGGGGATAGTACCGGCAGGATTTGTCAATGGGACATTCAGAGATTTGGATTTAAAGATAAGGCAAACACTGGGCCATTCGAAGACATAAGAGGGTGGCGCGTGTCATTGTGTCCACCTCCTCTTTTGGGCACCTGGCAATCTCACCTCTCAGGGGTGGTGAGTGTTCAGTTTGATTCTGATTGTCAAAAGATTATTACTGCAGGGTTGGACTGCAATATCCAGCTGTGGAAAAACACAGGTGACCACATTGGATTATTTGGGAAAGATGAATGGGATGCTGATGCAAAGAAAACTACACAGAAGGTAAGAAGACCAGTGTTAGCAGGGAAGGGAAACCAGTTACCATTTAAGTATTTCAGGCCAGAAAGAGAATTGAAGAAAAAACAGGAAGATGACCTCGACGACATAAATGATGAACTTCCTTTCCTACCCCGGGATGATCTAACTGATAAAGAGATGGACCGTATCTATAGACGGTTAATGAAAATACAACCAAGTATTGACACAATACATGAGAAGTTCAAACAACAACAGTCCATACGCTCTGCCAAGCAATGTGATAGTGTGGTCCAGCAGGAGGCAGAACAAGCTTCTAAAGTGCAGCTCATGAATAGTAAAAGTTCATTCAGACCACACCCGCCTCAGAGCCCGCTCATCAGTGGCGAGACAGCAGACCCTGATTTGAAACAGCCTGGATCTAAATATGGCCGTGTGATCAAGCATCAGAATAAATACCCTTTACAAGGCAGGGTCCTAACACCTTGTCCACCTGACATCGTGCCAAGCCAGCAGCGGTCTAAGCTAACAACAAAGCATTCACTCTTGCCAACCATCCCGAAAGGTGTTCAGCGCGCACATAATCAGACCCAGTTCAGGCCACACCCGCCTCAGAGCCCGCTCATCAGAGGTGGCAGCAGCTTAAAAACAAGCTCTTCCCAGACACCTCGATTACGTTTACCTCCACTCACTGAGAAAGTACAGCTTACCACACGTAGCCGGCTACAAACACCATTTCCAATTACAGGCCATAAATTAACCAAAATCAGGGATTAATTTCGGGTTTTCCGGCCGCTACGGTTTCCTCCCGCATTTATGTAAATAGAAAAAATGCATCCTTTTAATTACCTTCTGCAGATCAAAATACATCCTCAAACATGTAGTTTTACTTTCTCAAAAACAAAATTATGGAGATTTGTATTATCAGCCAATCAACTGTTTTCACATAGCATAACTGTTTGTCTAAACTTTATCAAGCGTATCATCTTATCTCAGCTTTGATTGTCATTTTGGGTTTTCTCCGGGTACTGCGGTTTTGTCCCACATTCTAGTATATATAAAAAAAAAAATACTTTTCATGACCTTCTGCAAGATTACAATACATCCTCAAACATTTAGTTTTTACTCTCTAAAGAAAACAACATTATAAACATATGTGATGATCACAGATGGCTGAATCCACCATGTATGTAGCAGTGCACACAGTGAAGGTGAACACACTTTACCTTTTTTCAGAATATGCTCCACTAACAAACATGGAGTTGTAAAAGCTCTTAATGTTCTTGCAGCATACACTTAATACCAAGAGCTCTGGATCTTTTAAATAGGGCCCGGTATTTATAAACTTGTCAAAAGATAATCTTATGAATGATTAAATAATTTCTGAAATAATACAATAATAAACCAAATTATGAAATAAATATTGTGAAATGTATACCTACATGAATAAATAAATAAAAGCTGTTAATCAAACAGACATTTATGTTGATCTACATTTATTATTTTATGTTTCTGTAAATGAGTCTTATGTATTATCACTCGCGAGAGACGAGCCAATGCCACGTCATCAGAGGACTACGGAGGAAGGCCCGCCCCGTCTACGCCAGCCAATCGATGATGAAGACTAAATACGAGTGTGAACGTATATAACCAGATGTTTAATATAGAAACAGCCGTTTTTATTCTACAGATTTGAGAGACAGCTGCGCTAAGTGGACTGTCTATCACTGAAGTAGAAAAGACCTCGGCCAAGTACTTCTGCAAACTTATTGTATGACTTTATTTATAAATGCTGTTTACTTGACGAGAAGCTTCCTGAATTATGTTCAGCTACTCTACCTCAAAGTAATTACACGCAACACCCCCGACCCTTCTTCCGAAAATACACTTTTCAGTAGCTATAACATTGATTTCTATTCCATTAATGTATGTGCCCACAAAGTGGACTGCACTGGAATTGAATGTTCTATTTTATCCCTGCAAAGTCTGCTTTTAAATTGTGCTGTGCCAAAAGTTAAAATTTCAGGTGATGTTCGCTCTCAGGTTGGAGACATACTAGAAGATTATTCAGCCAGTGAAGATCATATTTGACCATCTTGACAAATGCAGGCCAAATCCTAATGTTTTGGCAAATGTTATCGGTAATGCGAGGGATTTGCATGACTAATTTTAACTACCTGTGAGACAACCCAGTCTAACGGCATTTTGTGTTTATAGTCACGACATTTAATCTAATGATTCGTGTTAGTTTTAAATCACGAGCGCAATGTGCAAAGTTTGCAATATTATCTTAATGAATCGTTTACTCTATTTTTGTTAAAGTATAATACTATTGCTGCTTTACACTTGAAGAAGATCAGCATATATTACAGTAAGAAAGCCTCCAAAAAGATAGTATGAAGTGTTCAAACTTTTCAAAATCACTGCGGATGTATTCTTGCGGTGTCCGTCTTCTTACTTTTTCCAAACTTTCTTAAGTGGTCTCACATAGTTTGCCTTCTCTCACCCTCCTGTCTATCTCCCCCTCCCCTCATCTCCTTCTTGTTCCTGCATTGTTAAAAGTATTTCTCACGCCATTCTAGGTTGTAAGCCACATTCATTATTGGGGACAACGAGGCAGATCGTAAATAAATAAAAACAATTTCATGGCTTTCCTGGTGCACTTCTGAATTGTGAGTGGGAGTAAGACAGATTCTCAACTGTCCTTGTTCATCCGAACCAAAGCTGGGACGAAATTAGATGAGATTGTGTGTGGTGTGTGTGTGTGTGTGTGTGTGTGTGGTGTGTGTGTGTGTGTGTGTGGTGTGTGTGTGTGTGTGTGTGGGTGTGTGGTGTGTGTGTGGTGTGTGTGTGTGGTGTGTGTGTGTGTGTGTGTGTGTGTGTGTGTGTGTGTGTGTGTGTGTGTGTGTGTCCTCACATGTGCATACTGTGGGTAACTACAAAGAGAACCCTCAAGGAAGCTCCAGACTCATCAAATGATAACTTAAGCTTTCTTGTGTCAAGATGATCATAGGATAACTGATCTTTAATTGTAAAGGCTTCTACAGTTAAAGCCTTTCTTGTATGGATTTTCTTTCTTTTTTTGGTTAACTCTGACATGAGCCCACCTAAGCATGATTAAGTACTACATTATTCATTCACTGTGAAGAAAATGAATATAGTGTAACCTAATTTCAAAGGGGGAATGTAGCTGCAGTGGCTTTTCATCATCACCATTAAGTCATCTGTCACTTTCATCCTTTGAATTTACTGGATATGAAATGCTCATATTCAGGTTTAATGTGTGGCTTCTCTGTGGAGGTTAAAGGGGAACAAGGTGTTTTAGGATTAGACAGGAGACTTAATTCAATAAAAGTGAAGATTTGAATAACAGCTGGTTAAAAATATGTTGTTAATTAATAAATAATACCCTGGTTCTAGTAAAAGTATGCCTCACTTTTACTTATAAATGAGATTACCAAATGAGTGGTCAGGATTTATATTAGATGTATTGATGATTGGGCTATCTGGGTACAGGCCCCAAGATCCAGCCCTGCCCATTATTCACCTTAATAATGTCAGTGAAAGAGACATGTGTGAAACAGAAGTCATTCAAAATGACCACAAAGAAACATGAAACAGCTGCAAACTAATCTTGTCTTAGTGTTATTGCATGATGTTAAAATGTGTTTGCCATGCATTTAGTAATGGATTGTAAACATTTGAAATGTAGCATTTCAGTGTTTCTCAGTTACACGGTTGTTGTTTTAATAAATCAGACACTGATAGTGCAGCGCTGTACTGTACCTCTTTATATAGGCATTTTGTCCCTAACAAATCGTTTTGGCGCTGATCAGGGGGTACTTGGCTGACATTGTTTTTCAAAGTGGGTACATTATTGAAAAAAGTTTGAGAACCACTGGTCTATGGTGTCAACCACAGACCTTATTTCCAGCTATTTTCCTAAATCCTATGGAGAAATTGTATTGCTTTTTTGTCGAAGGAACCCATGCGCAGCTTACTTCCGGGTTTTAGGACGCGTCACTGTGGCACTCTATTAGACCCATATTGAGCAGAGCATATTAAGACCAAAACTCATGTACAACAACTTCCTTACTTGCAATAAATAAGCACTAATTAGAGGGTTGAGGAAAAACTCTCAACTAATGGCCTATTACTTCTAGAACATGGTCATGTAGAATAAGGCATTAATAAGTGTTTTATAATGACTAATAAAGAGCCAATATACTGCTAATATGCATGTTAATTAACAACTAGTTGATGGTTAATTTGTGTACCTTAATATAAAGTGTTACCAGAAACACAAAGCAACAATGAAGAGACATCAAATGACTCCAAAGAAGAAACAAAGCAACTTCAAAGAGACACAAAATAACTTAAAATAAATATGAAATGAACTCAAAGAGACACAAAACAACTACAAAGAGACAAGAAATAAACACAAAACAACTACAAAGAGACATCAAATGAACACAAAGAGACACAAAACAACTACAAAGAGACATCAAATGAACACAAATAGACACAAAGCACAATAGTGCATGAGCGGACATTGCCGGCAAGGTATGACCCCCCCCATATAGTCTGTAGTTTCGAGATATGATCACATGCTGTAGTATGACTGTAATCTATAATTTATTTTTGAAAGAAAGACAACCTGATACAAAATGGCCGAATTTGAATCTAGGATATTCAGCTTCTAGTCATTACATTATGTGTGTGGGTGATTCTGTGCAATCATTTTGTTTCGAGGCTCAATTAGGAAGCTAATTCAGTCATCAAATGTATGTGCTATACCTCTGCCGTATAGGGATGGGTATCGTTAAGGTTTTAACGGTACTACTATTTTTATCGACACCACTTATCGATCCGGTCCTTTAACGGTACTCTTATCGGTTATTTTAGATTTTAGAATAAATAATATTTCACATCAAAAGAAACAACAGTGTTTTAACAAATCATAATAAGTAATCTGATGACAGAATAGCTGAAACTTTAACAAAATAAATAACTCAGTTACGTCTAATCATTAACCCATGTTTGTATAATTGAGTTAACTCTGTGTGTTGCTGCTAGCATACATAATACCTGAGGTGGAAATGTTACTCGTGGATGGGGCTACAGAAGACAGTCGAACCCGGTGCATTTCTCCGTCTGAATGTGGAGCACTTTTGCTAAATGCTTAGACACATTGCTCGTGTTACCGCCCTTACATGCTAAACTCTTATTGCACTTTTGGCAACGAGCATTATCCACATCGAGACGGGTAAAGTTTAACCACACCTTGGAGCGCTTCTCGCCATCTCCTCCGTGTGTGTGTTGCTGCATGTAGCAGCTGGAATTGGAAAGATTGAAAATACTAAAAAATAATCATAGGCGCATTTTGCAGTCTAGAAACGGAGTTGGCGACACTAAGACTGCAATATAATGTTTGTGTAGCATAATATATATGACATATTTTTTTAGATGTCTCCAGTAGCCTACCGATAAAAAGACCGATAACGTCGGAGCTTAACGGTACCATGGTCTTTAATAATTCAGCCCCGGGGCCCGTTTAATACCGGGGCTCGGTACCCATCCCTACTACCATATGTTCATCAGTAAAAATGCACTTAACACATCTGTGATTCTCTCTACATCTACAAAATGCTGTACACTTACTTTTTTAGACTTTTTTTCTCTTTACACAAAGTGTAGTTGCAGTTAGCACCTGCAGGCTGTTATCTGGGATTTGATGTGTCTCTGACCAACACTAACCAGCTGTTACTAAATAACTACAGTTCAATAATTTGACTCTTAAGGCATTTTGTATGGAGGAGCCTATGTGTTTTTCCTAACCAGCAGCAATCTTATAAAAAGAGGAGGCTGTTTTGTTCACCCTTGTGGTTCCTTTTGCCTCCTTTAAACCTATTTCACTGCAGAT